TGGGAAAGTGTAAAACTGTTGACTGAGTCATTGGTTGGCTGTGGAAGGTACTTGTACTGAAGGAGAAATTCAGTGGGTGGGGGGCTGACTGAAGCGAAAATTTTCCCAACATCAGGACAAGCCTCGATCATCCATCTTACCCATACCTTACCTTAGGCGAAAGATTGAGATACAGAGTTCTTGAAATACTGTTTTCAGCGTGTGTCAAACTCTACCTCACAGTCGTGGCAAGGAACTACACGGATATCCGTTTCTACAGTAATCCTGACACGGCTCTACATCCAACATCGCCAAGTATGAACGGAACACATAGTGCAAAGTTTCAATTTCAAAACGAAATAAAATCATGAGTACAATCACAAAAAACTGAAATCACATATACGTAAAATATGGAATTAAGTTGACACCGCCACCAGGGCAAGTGTAATCGTTGCATCACTATTGAATAGAAGCGCCCGTTACTCATCTATTATTCATGTACTTTTGGATGAACTTGAAGAGGAAACGTTCAGCTGTTCATTACGAAATGATTCATCCGAAAGCAAGCACGTTAAAAATAGCCCTTAATGAATTTTTTTCGCTGTAAAGAGTTCGGTGGCGTTTTCGACACAGTTCATTGTTGGGATTCTTCATGTGGAAGTTCCGTGAGCTCTTCTTAATGTTATTCAAGTACCGCTGAATCGTGACTTCGGCTTTAATCAAGAAGTTAATACGTCAAGAGATGGCACAGCTGCTTACCAGAAGCGGTAAAATGAACTGAATCGTGTTGTGCTTTATCAAACTGAACATTCATCGTTCACTTTACCTCCAGCAAGGATTTCATGGGGGAGGGGTGAGTTAGACTGACAAGAAGGGGTGCTCACAGTTTTCTTTGACACTTTTAATCGTTTTCCTTTTTTGTTGCTTTGAGTGTCCTCGAACTATAATGTGCATAAATAAATATTCACGTTGATAAGACGGCCTTTACAGGTTCCGCCTTTCCTGTGCATTCCTCAGTGCTCGGAAGGGAAAAACAGGAATCCATGATCGTAGCCTATTCCAGTTCACGACACTTTCACGTAATGCCGAAGCATGAGTGACCACCTTTCAGTGCATGAATCATTACATAACCGACATGGCTCCTGATTCTCGCATCTGAACTTCCCCCTTCCTCCCAACTCTTATTTTTTTTGAAACAAAGAGTCGTCAGTTTAGGAGAGTAGCACTTTGTACCAGAATTCGACCTCGCGTCTTCTTCAAACAACTTCGCACCGATATCCCCTTTGAACATTTAATAACCTCAGTTTCTGCTGCTCTCCAAGTCCCAAAAGCACTTATGGTAAGGTCACATCATCGTAAGTGACAGTGAAAGGGAGAGGATAGATCGTTGTCGTTTTTAAAGAAACTCGGTGGTAGTCCGGTCTAGGGAATTTTTTTTGTTACCTTTCTCCAAGCCGTTCCAGGCTGGCTCGAGACGACTACAAATTATTTAGGCCTGTACCAGTCCTGTTTCCTTGAGGGCTCGAGGTCCCTCAGGAAAGTGACCTGGAGGCCTACCTATTTAAGCCGCTTTACCAGTAGATCGGGGTAACAGGTGGACCTCATTGGTCGACTCCCTAAAGGTTAGTTCTTATTGTTCTCGTGACGTCATCACAGTGAAGTTTACGACCCCTTTTGAACTTTTTCTGTAGGTTGAAATAGTGTTGGAAGTATCGAAAATGTCTTCTGACTTTCCAGGCTCTGAAGACGGCGACGACGCCGAAACGTCAGCCGAATAAAGTTTTCATAACAATCTTGGTTGGAGCTAAATCAATCTACTGTCAGTTATTTAGGCCCTGTTCGTGGGCGCGGGCCAGCCCAATGTTGCACCTTCGGTACTGCTCCGTTTTTTCCGCTTTGTAATCCTTGTAAGAGAGGCGCACCATTGAGGGGGGGCAGTCTGATCTTGCCCCTCCCAGGCGTCATGCCTGGACTGGATCTTCAATATGGTATTTGCAACTAGATCTATGTAAAGCTAAAAGTTTAACCTTAATGGCTGAACGTAACAATGCGGTTCGGAAGTGACGTGATTGTGGAGAAACCCATTCACTAAGCGCCTCTGATGCGACATCTGAACAAACATTTCATGTGCGGCTTTATAAGCCAACAATAAACCCCGGCGAAAACGGCACAAGTGAAATCATGCAATGTGGGTTTTTGCCATGTTTTTTGAAAATTTCATAACCTCTCCTCTACTGATGTGTGGTTACAATCCTTAGAATATTGATTTTGAAGTAGTCCCTTGACTCTTTTGGACATGACCACTAGTAATCGCTCCTTTTTTAGTTTTGCTACCACCTATTATGTAATTGCACTGTGCACTGTGGGTGCTTTTGGATGAATATTCTGCAGCTATTTGTTGGCATAAACTTTGGAATTCGATTTTATAATTAAACAAAAGAATTTATGAGGATCAGGGTTCTAATACTGAGAGGATTAAATCCATGATACAGCAAAAGTACTGAAGTCCAAGACAAAGATGGGCGCAGTTCGGCTTGAAAGGGGTGCCGAAAGGTACCCAGCAAAGCTTGTATACCCTGTGGAACATGTAAATTCTTAGAACTAAAGTAACTCTTTATGTACCATTTTGCAGCTTCACAAGTGTTTACAGGCCTAACCAAAAGAGACCTGCCATTCGACATGGAGTAGAAAAATGTGTAGCGAAATGCAGAGTGCCCCCTCATGTCGAATAGCGCTTAAAGATGTGAAAATTAGCTTTAACATCTTCACTTTCAGACACCTTTATTTCACTGTCCGTCTTATTTTTATCGTCTGTGACTGCCGTTCCAAAACTCATAAATGATAGCGCTCTTCTACGACACAAACGGCAAACATACTACCTCTGCGGAGTTTTTCCGTACCAGTACTATTCAACTACAGGTGAGACATTATTACCTTATCGGCTTGAATGGAAAGAATTTTTGGCCCCTTTTGGAGCACTCGACCCTAATAATTTCATGTTCGTTATTCCCAAGATCGTACAAATAGACGATTCCTTTCTGTTACTGCGTTTTACGGGTTTCTTATCAACGATACGTCCTACTTTGTCAACGTTCTCAGGAAAATCTCACCTCCAGGGGACAAAGGCCAGTTCGGGATTCCTGCTTCAGTAATGATTTACCAGAGCGAATCACCATTCCCACACACTAGTAGCCGGCAGTCCGCGGAGTATCTGAATGGATTAGTAATGAACGGTAGTGGTGAGGTTATGAGGTTACACTAAACTCAAGATCTCCCATATCTCGGGGAGGGGAGGGTGTGGCTGAGTATTTCGTAAAGGGATATGTTGAGGATCGTCCTGGAGTGCGCAGTGAATGTCCGATGTCGAATACACGCGTTGCCGTTCCTTTAAGAATTTCACAATACAGTAGTTCGATTCGGTTCTAGAGCTCAGAATTTTTTTTTTGCAGTATTCTGCATACGAAAGGCTTTGGTTTGTTTCCGAATGAAAGAGCCTTTTCAATTGTTAGACGCCATAGGTGTCTGTGCAGCAACCGGGCAGCTGCACACACGAAAGCGTGCGTTGTCTCCCTCATCGTGTATTCAATACGAAGTACCGTACTTGCATGGGCAGTAGCGAGTAGTTACAAACGATTTTTTTTTTAACAAAATGCCAGTGATGTTAGAAAATGACATGGTCCCACTAATAGTTCCAATTTTCCCCCTCTCCGTTATATTCCTAAGGTTGTTCAAATAGATTACAATAGCTGCAAAAGTAAAGGACGTACTATACAATAACGGCACTGGATGATGAAACTCTCACGTTATACAACAGCACTATAACTGGAGCTATAGCAGAAGTATGGAAGCTGAGCAAACACTGCTAGGAATTTGAAAGGATTATTTTTCCTTCCCTATTTGTTCCGTATGACAGGGGCGGTAAAGCTACACTTCTAACCCGAGCATAGCCTGAAAGTTGAAGGAGCACTTTGAGCAGACTGAATCTGGGAAGTACATACTCCCTCTGCTTTTGTCATCCAATCGTTACAAAGCGATGTCCACCAATGAAAAGGGAGGCAGCGGTACAAGTGACTCCGCCCACACGACAAAAATCGCATGTGGTTTTCCAGTCTTATCATAAGGGCAGTTTAACAGCGAGAAGGAGTGCCATTTGAACTGCACATCTCAGACATGCGGTAGGCGTAGCTGTGTACTACTTTTGGCGTATTACAACTTATTCGTAGAATTGGAAATAACTGTTATCCTGCAATGTTCTGGACAAAGACATGGTTACAATCGTTCCAGTGAGAATATCCCAACGAAAGCACAGCGCATCCAAAGTGCGTACCCACTCCTTTTTCATCTCAAGGAGGTGGAGAACACATAACACGGGCACGGATGAATTCCCGAAAGCCGCCCAGACCAGCAAATCCTTCCAACCTTCTGGAAACGATTCTTCGGAACCAGATTGCACTGGGGAGGGGCGGAGGAGGGGTGAGGTATACGAGCACGATTTTCATATCGGTTCACTTACGCATGTCCTTGTCATCAGGGCCAGTACAAAAAGCAACTACTGTGAGAGGAGGTGGAATGCTTAGCGCCTAGCGAAAAGGAAGTGAGCAGGGAGGAACGTTATCGTTCCACATTTTGTCAAGCCATACACTCTTCCTAGTATAGTAAATGCAAAATCAAGGAAGCTGAGCTAACCCTGCATGTGGGGACCCCCTAAATTGTCATTAATTTAATAGTTCTATCGATCCCGAACTTTTCTTGGAAATCGAGTGCAGGGATCATGCAGAGCTCGTGCTGAAGTACACACTACGCACTTCCACGCACTTTCTATTCATGAAAAAACAGCTGATTCTTTGAACCTGAACCCATCGAGTGATTTCAGCTTGCCAAACACAGGTCGTATGCCCTAACGGTGGAACATATTTGAACATCGGGTGCACGTTTTCTGCTCAATGCACCCCGTTTTATAGGTAAGTGAATGCCACTTTCCCATTTTCGAACCCCTCTGTCGCATTTCACATGATTTTCACCATTTTTGCTTTTTGTCTGCCAGCTGCTTTCCTAAGTTTCTATTTTCAAGAGGTGTCTCCACATGCTATAATGGATGTTGCTGCACGGTACCCTAATCCTAATCCACCTCCATCTACAGACCGATTTGGTAAGTAAGTAAAACTTAGTAGTTGTTTGAGTCGCAACAGCTATCCAGCCACATGCAATCGTGTTCGCTGCAGATGATGGGGCGTGTCGGGTAGGACACGCGAAAGCCTTTATTCCTTTTTTTGTGTTGATATGAACCTCATTTATTCGATACATCATTCCCACGTCGCGTGGCCTCAATATGGGTCTCAATTTCGACGTGAGAATTTGAAATGCAGTACGTCAGCTTTTACATACCCAGGAAAACGTAATTTAGGGGATCTCGCCTCGAGTACTCCAAACACACTCTCTCCTCTCAACGGAAATTTGTGGTGGCGTGAAGTCTCAGCATTTTGCGGAAACAAGAGTGTGACGGCTTGCCATAGCCCAGGCGTTTGAGCTCTCCGCCTCTGGGATGACTCTCCCTCCATCCGCAGCGAGCGCGACTGCATAACCCGCTGAATTTCTCTGCTGGTGTACGGGTGTATTAGGGAATTCATACCTTCCTCTCTTTTGACACAGAGAATGAAAAAAAGGAAATCGATAGAGGTGATGCGACGGACACATGTACGAATGGTGATAGAAAAGGATAGCGATTGATAAAAGCTGTTAAGGGGGGTACTGGGAAGAAAGTCTCATCTATTCTCACCTGGTGTTGCAATGGTAGGAGTTGGTTCCTACAAAGTGAATAGGGTGTGGGACTCCAACATCGGTTAAGTGCGATAGAAATCGAAGGTGATAGGGGGCCGATAAGAAGCGCTGTAAGGGAAGCCTCACAGGATTTATAGAGAAGATCAGAGCAGCAGAGGGAGTTTGTTCCAATAAATGGCCTACGCTGTGGGATGAGACCATTGATGGTAGATGAGAGGCTAAGCCATAACAACTGTTGGAAAATAGGAAAATAGGGGCGCTGGGCCAGACTCAGCCTATTTGACAAGGCTGGAGGTAATGTGTCCAAAAACTAGTTCGAGTGGTAGTAGTCGGTAAAGATAAGCACTATGTCAAGGCGGGCGGTGGTGTAGTACCAAGTGGCACGCTTACCACGCGCACAGTCCGGAGATCAAATCCCGGATCAGGCCGAATGAGCCCCCAGGGGACGGCAAATTGGTACCAGATCCGTCTGTGGAATAAGAATATTCCAAAAAAGGGTTGATCAACGGTGAAGACTCTATCCTTTTCTCCTTTACTGTCTAAGAGGGCATAGCAGCAAAAGACCTGCTTTCCATGTCCCGCGGTCCGGGAGTCAAAATCTCGCTTAATTCAATGGTAGTAGAATTTTTTGGGATGCACGACGCATCTCAAGAAATGATTGACCGGCGGCAAAAGCTTTATCCTTCGTCGTCTCAGAAAGGTATCTTCCAGGATACTGTCCTTCTGGACAGCTGTCGGAAGTACGATGCAGTGGCCGTGGTCAATGTCAGCCTGGACAGACATGCATGAATGGTCTCTGCTGTACAACAACGGGAAATGAATGGAATGGTAAGCCTCTGCAGATTTTCTCTTTCAAAAAAAAGGCTCTTGCACAACTCTACATAGTAGACGACATTGAAACACAGCATTAGCTGATTTTGCATATCTTCAGAG